GAATGTATCAGAGTACCCAGGTAACAAAGGTGACCAAAAAGAGGTCTTTAATAATCTTTCATCATAAATTTGTTATCTAAATTATTCTGCTTACAGTGGGCGTACTTCTTTCCTTTGAGTTCTTAAGGAGTTTACTAGTTAGGTTCTTGCTTTTAATTTGGGTTGAATGCTTTTTTAAATATATATTTTATATTTCCCCCAAATCATGTTTGTAAAGAAAAGCGATGAGGAATATATATTTTACTATAAATTTTCTCTTACTAGCAGTTTTAAGTGTAAGATTAGACTAATTTAAACTATTAATTTTATCTTGAGTATCCCAGCTATTGACATATTTATCAAATATTGGTTGGCTGCATGTTTCCCTGTCTTGTTTTTTTAGTCTTTATTGTTTTTGACTGTAGAAGTTCCACATACTTAGTGTAAAAAGAATTCAGTCACTTTCCACTCTTTTACATAGCAATGCCTATGATTCAATTTATGTTAACCATTAAAATCATGGAATTATTTAAAAATAATGCTTTGTCAATGTTGAAGTCTTATAGATTTACACAGGACATAACCATTGTTTTAATAGTAAAAATTATAAGAGCATGAATATATCTAGGTAAAAATATAAAGATTTAAAGAAAAATGTCCAATTTCTTTTAGATACATAAATAATACACTAACTTATGCCTAGTTTTATAATTGTACAAATTCTTACCTCCTTAAACTCTTGTTCTTTCTTCCTAGTAATAGTTATAGGGACAAAAGAGAACTCTCCAGGGAACCAAGGAATTAAACTAATTTGAGATTTTTCGGGCAGCATGTTTTTAATACATTTAGATATTTTGTTTTTAATTTAAAATTGATAATGTTTGTTTTCATTTGAGAAATAGGATGTAACTACTAGGATAAAAAAACGGAGCACAGGAACTAATATATTTCAGGGCGAGAACTCTTATCACTGTTAGCAATGAGGGTTTTTTTAAACTAGGAATAGTAGCTAGTTCCTTTAGTAAGCCTATATAACCTTCTCTTATTAATGAAAAATTTGAAATATTTGTTTTATTTTAACATATTAAAAGTATTTCATTTTATTCTAGTAATGGATTGTCTGTTGAGACTTTTGGATATGTCACATTCACATATTATTATTGAACTTGTAACTAGATTCCACAAAACTCAACAAATTTCTCCTTTGTTTCTTTTGCAATAATAGTTAAATAATTGCTATTCCCATTGTGCTTTTAATGTCTGTTAATGATGGTGCTGGTGGGAGAAAAACTTTTTCCTTAAGTAAATTGAATTCCTTTAGTCATTTCAATTTTGATTTCTTTCAGAAGGTGGTAATTTGTAAACAAATGGTTATTGACTAGATAATACAGAGCATTCGTAGAAACATAGTAACCTCATGTTTGTCATGTCCTCTACTGCTTTTATTTCTTCTCACAAGTAATTGTTGTAGAGTGGAGTTTAAGATTTTAAAATTTTTGTGATTTTAGGATTAAAAAGGGACTTATATGTTGGACTTTCTAAGTTAACATTCTCAAAACCATTTTTCATGGCAGAGCTTTCTAATTTTCCTTATTTTTACTCCACCGGTCTCTTAATTCTCATACTTACATTTTTGTTGCTGTACACTTCTGGTATAAGAGATTTCAGTCGGTAATCTGTAGATGATTAGGAAATGGAAAAGAAAGGTAACTATAAAGAAAGAATTTTACTACATGACAATTTATTTGAAGGTGACCCAATAATAAATTATGTATTTGTGACTTTACTGTTTTATGAACCTGGATGGGAACCTGAAAGAGATCCTGTTTTTGTATTTGCTAAATATCTGTATTAACTTTAAGCTGTGTGTTAAGGAAGTTCTCCTATTCAGGCTTATCAGTTTTTCATGGGCTGATCTGATTTGTTGTGTCATATACATAGTATTTTCATGTCTTAAAGGGCGATTTAGTATTTCAGTAGAGATATATTTTATAAAAGACTGCCAGTGATTTTTTTCTTTTGAAATTTCAGTACCAAATCATTTTTTAGATTCGAGGCTTTTTCTAGATTCTTAGGTATGTCATCCAGCTTTGTAAATTCACATACATTTTGAATAAAACATGGATAGAAGACAAGAAGAGACTCAAATATATGTAAATAGATTTTTAAAAAATGAGTATGACTTTTGTGAGAGTGATCAGAAATGTGAAGCTTCACATTAGGCTATATTTTCTTGAGGACAAAATCCATTTTTATGCCAGTTGATAAGAATATGTAAATTAAGTGGCACTTTAAAATTAAAGAAGAATGTAAAATTAATAGTAAATAGATTATATTTGAAAGTCTTCCTAGTTTGATAATCTTTTCCTACTTCTGATTTCACTGTATTTTGAAATCACTATATCTTAGAGAAAATGAAATTATTTAATATCGGGTATCTGTAGACATGCATTAATGGCTAGTTATTTATAGGATATATGTTATACCTTTATTAAAAAAAAAATTAAGCCTAATTTTATTATCTTTTAGTTTAATGTAAATGGAAATACATACTTTTCCATGCAAACTTTAGAAAAACTATTGTTGGCAATAAAGTTGTCGTTCATCTTTTAAAGTTCTATTTGTTGTACATATGCAGTAAAAATGATGAAGAATAGTGTAATACGATCCTTGTGAGAAAGCTGTTTTTGCATTATAGAAATTACACATGCTTGAATTGTCACCTTGGTCAACAATAAAACTTATTTTCTTGATTTCACTCAGTTTTAAACATACATTACAATAGTTTTAATACTAAAGTCTCGAAGACTTTATAAATTCACTTATCCTTTAACAGTGTATTCATTACATACTTTTTTGCCAGGCACTATGGTAGATGCTAGGGAGTCCATGGATATAAAGCACATAGTCAGTCTACCTTCACAGAGCTTATTGTTAAACAGAGTACCCTCGTAATAAATGAATAAGTATGCCAGTAATTAATAGTGGTAAATGCTGCAAAGGAAAAATCACAGAATGTTATGAGAGTGTAGTGTTTTGAAATGTTTTATTTGGTCTTACAAATTGGACTTGATTAATTTCTGTTTCTGCATTGCCAATGTTTGATTTTGCTAATTGCAGAAAATTGGCATTTTGCTACCTTTTAAAATCTGAGGGTACATTGCATCCTGCTAACTTGTTGGATTCTACTAAATTGTAGCAGGTTTTATAGTTAAGAACATAAATCCACTAAATAAAAATATTTTTAATACAGTAATATGGAATTAGAGTAACTCTCCTTTCTCCTGCTCAAAATTTGATTTGCTGAAGCTGCCTCCCGAAAATCATGAGTATCGACACTCTGGTCAGAACTTGCTCCGGACTCTCATTTGGCAGAATCAGGTCAGGTGGCAGTATCAGGTAAAGGGAAATAAGAAACATATTATGTTTCCTTTCCACTTTTTTTTCTTGAAAACATTCATTCAGGAAAAATAGTAGAATGACCAAGTGAAGGAACTACTTAAGAAAAACATGGGATGGTTGATGCACAGTTACTTTTTTTTTAATTTTATAATTTTTAAAAATTTACTTTTAGAGTTATATTGCAGTTAAGGAAAAATCAAAAATGGGGGGGGGAAATATAAAAATATAAGGAAAAAATACAAGATGGCAGAAATGTGACTGAACCCATCAGTGATCATAATAAATGTGAAGTGATTAAATTTCTCTAGTAAGGAATTAAGTCAAATATCACTGATTTAGATGTAAAGTCAAAGGATAGCCCAAAAGGAATAGGTTTCATAATTTGTGAATTGATAGCACCACATGATAGGAATCCCTGTTTGTTCTTAAGGAACCTGATAGAGGGGAACATATATTAAACTAAGCCAAACACCAATTTTAGACAAAATTAGATCATGTACATTTGTTTTACAAATATATTGCAACGTTTTAAGCGTTAAGCTAAAGATTTTTTTAAAATTTTGATAATAAAAGAAAACATCTAAGTTGTAAAAGTACTCTGAGGGGGATTGGAGATGTGAGCATAATTTCTTTAAATGTTGCTGTTTCAAAGTGTTTTCTCATCACACTTCTTAATTTTTTTCATACCTAGATTTTGTTTGCTGACTTTAGCATAAATTTTTAGTAAATTGGGCGTGGATAAAAAAATAACACGAACTGCTAGGTTGGTAGGAAACTTTGCACATAATAGGTGGTCAATAAATAGCATATATCAGTAGCATTCAGGCTTTATTATATTAAATGGAATTAACTGATCCTGATCTCTCTCTTTATTTTCTAGAAATATTAAAAGTTTGTCAGATATCCAGATAGTACAGGTTGCTTGCGGTTACTATCATTCACTTGCACTTTCTAAAGGTAAGCATTGTTTTTTTCTTTTCCTTTTTTGGTTTTATTGGTACTTTAATTGAGCAGAAAGTCCTTTAACTTTATTCTTATTCAAGACTGTCTTAGTTTTTAATCCTTTTCATTTCCATATACATTTTAGAATTAGCTTGTCAGATTTCATAGACACACAAAGAAACTACTGGGATTTTGACTGGGATTGCATTGTCTCTATAAATCAGTTTGAAGAAAGTCCATACAATACACATCTTTAAGTTCTTGAACATGCTGTATTTCTCCATTTATTTTTTAATCTTAATTTTTCTAAGTATTTTGTTATTTTCAAACAAAGGAGAAGTCTTATACACCTTTACTATATTTCCTCCTAGGTATTTGGTATTTTTTGTTGTTATTGTGAATGGTGTCATTGTCAAATTGTTTATTGCCAAAATATAGACACGAAGTTGATTTTTGTGTCTAATTATTATTATTTTTTTACTTTTCATACATAACCTTTTAATTTCAGATACTTGTAGAATCACAGGAAGTTGAAAAAAGTAATAACAGACAGGTCCTATGTACCCTTCACTTAGTTCCCCACAGTGGTAACATCGTGTAAAACTAGAGTGGTACATGTGTTCTTGAAGGGCAGTAGCTCACTGAGTTTAACTTCCAAGGAAAAGATTCCATATTGAAAAGATATAGAACACTTCATGAATTTGGGTGTCATCCTTGCACAGTGGCCATTCTAATCTCTGTATCGTTCCAGTTTCAGCGTATGTGCTGCCAAAGTGAGCACTAATTGTTTCTTTACTCTGTTAAATGCTATTCTTTCATTGCCAGGGAATCTTATAACTTGCCCAGTCTCATTTGATCTCACAGATAAAATTCTTATGAATAAAAACAGAATAGGCCAAGATTCCTATTTATTAGCTTCGTTTGCTTTACTTTCTTATTCATTTAACTTTTTCATGACAGAGGCATAGGATCAGGAAAGTATTTTGTTAATTTGATTATTGGCATGTAGTTTTATGGGAGTATTGTGAGAACATGGGAGACAGTCATACTTGAGTTGAGGCTGAAGTAGAAACAAATCTGTTTCAAAGGGCCTTAAATGCTATATTGAGGGATTTACACTTCTGTAGGTAGTAGAGAAACTGGCATCCCTGTATTCTTTGTTGTAACTTTGCCAACTCTTTTATTTTGGTGGGTAGATCCAAGATAAATTTAAATCTAGTTTTTACTGACGAAGGCAGTTTTCTCTCTTGACTTGCAGGTATTCTTTTTTCTTGTTCAGCTGTATGCTTTAGTGCAGAATCTTACTCATTTAATGAAGTTTTTTTGATCATTTAATATGAACTAGGCACATTTGGGTGTACAATATGTAGTAGTAAGCAGTACACTACTAGCCTTTGTGGTGCACTCATACAAATAACACTAAGTACATACTTTGAAAAGACTGTACAGAAAAAATTGGGGATGTTTAGAACATGTAATGGAGACTGACTTTAATCTGGAAGATCAGAGAAGGCTTCCTGCTGGAAGAGAGTAGAAGTGAACTGGACAGAGATAAGGGGAAGGTTTAGGGTGAGAAATGGGCATTGGAGAATGTAAAGGAAGGTGAGTATGGCTAGAGTATAATGAGGGAAGAGACTGGTATGAAATGAGCTTAAGAAGAGGTCACAATCTTATAGCTCTTGTATTTACCCCAAGAGCAACAAGAAGCCACTGACATTTGAGTGAGCAACAGTATCAAATCTGCATTTTTATAGTATTTTTGTGTATGTACAAATGTCCGCTAGTATGTGCACAGAATAATTTTGCAAGTACATATCAGTAATTGGTGAGAGTAGTTCTCTTGGGAGAGGAACCAGAGATCTGATTTTGGAGGGAGACTTACTTTAAGTATATACTATTTTATAGTATGAATTTTTAAATATCAGTTATTAGCGCCATTTATTTAATAAAAATAAATAAAAAGTCTATGGGCATGCCACCCTGAATGTGCCCAATCTCGTCTGATCTCAGTAGCTAAGAAGGGTCAAGCCTGGTTAGTACTTGGATGGGAGACCATCTAGGAATACTGGGTGCTGTAGGTATTAAAAAAATAAAATAAAAATAAAAAGATGTCTAAAGTTGTGAAATGGCGGCAGTGGAGGAGCAAAAGTGACAAGCAAAACTATTATAGGAACCAGGTAACAAGGTGGGGAGTGGACCTATTGGCCATATTTTTCTTTAAAAAGAAAACTGTATATAACGATGATAGATAATAGATTGATACCAACTTCTATATATGGTAAGAAAGGAGAAGAGTATTAAGGATGACTCCCTGTGACTTCTGCTACTGAGTTAGTTACGATGTCATGTACTGAGATAGAGGACACTGGGAAGAGGTCCAGGTACATGAGGTAGAATTAGGGTCATGAATTGAGTTTGGGGTACACTAAGCTGGAAGTGCCTTGAAATATCCAAATGTAGATGTTAGGTAAAAAATTGGATACATGGGTTTGTTACTCAGAGAAGAGATCTGGGCTAGTGATAAAATTTTGAATGTGATCAGCTTATAATTGATAACTGAAACCTTGAGCTTAGATGGGTGCCTCTTAGGAGAAATCACAGAATAAAAGTGAGATCTGAGGAATATTAAAAAGAGACAGTCCTTTATGAGGAACATAAGAAAATGAGAATTTCCAGTTATGTGATTTGCCCATTCTTCAGTAAAGTCAATCAACTTAAAGTGTACTAAATGCAGAATGTTCTTCTACATAGTATTGTGTATCCATATAAGAAATAAACTGAATAAAGAGGTATATGTATTACTATCTGATGAGAGGAAGAATATCCCAAAATAACTGATGATCTTCAAATGAAACTTTGTGTGTGTGAGAAAAATCATTAATTTTTTGGTTTTTGTTTTACAGCAAGTGAAGTCTTCTGTTGGGGACAGAATAAATATGGCCAATTGGGTTTAGGCGTTGACTATAAAAAGCAAACTTCACCACAGCTGATTAAGTCTTTGCTTGGAATCCCTTTCATGCAAATTGCAGCAGGAGGAGCCCATAGTTTTGTACTCACTCTTTCTGGAGCTATCTTTGGATGGGGACGTAACAAATTTGGCCAACTAGGTCTGAATGATGAAAATGGTAGGTTCTCATTATGTATAGATAAATGTACTTTTTAAAAGAGATGATGTTTTGAGATGGTTCAGTGATTATGTCAGAAAGAAATGTACTCAAATTTTCCCTGTTAGGGAGGTTGGGATGAGAGGTAAATCAAAAAATTCCATTTGATAACATTTTTAGGGGATGGTAGAAGTCCTAAAATAATATTTTATCATAAACTATAGAAAGTATATCTGGACAAAAAATCTTTGCTGATATTCATTAAAAGCAAGTTGAAAAACATTACTTCAAATTGATAACCACGTTATTGGCCATCATTGGTGGAAAGATGCAATAAAATTATTCTGGGAAATAACATGAAGTGTTAATCTATTTGAGATTTCTAAAGAAATATTTAAATAATTGGAGTCATTAAATTAGTCTTCAGTTTGGGCTTCACTTTTAACATTGATAATAGAGTCTTGAAAATAAACACTTAGAATTAAAAAATTATAACTACTCAAAACAAGTTGGGATCTTGGAATCAATTTATCATAACTACATTAGGTCGAATGCCAATATTTGAAATACTGAAACTAATTTCATGAAGTTCAGCATAATTGTAGTGACTTAAATGGACAAAAGTGAGTTGTTGATCTAGTAACAACTGGCAATAATAAGCAAATAATACTTCCAGAAAGAATTTTAAAATATTTTGTTTTGCATAGGAAAAATATATCAGGTCATTATAACTCTTTTCTGCTAGAAAATAGCAGACAGTATAATTTTCAGATTTTCAAGTAGGATCCTGTGAGCTTTATCATGAGATGAATCTAGAGAATAAAGTGTATATGTTGAAGCAGTCAAATAGCTTTGAAATTCTTTGATTGCTGATTGGCATTTATGCAGTTTAACATGTAAATTACTCTTTTTAAATCTCTTCTTTATCACAGTACAATAGAAAGGCCTGGGAATACAACTTAGTAGCCTTATACTACAAAATCATTGAATTATGGTTAAAATTATTTTGCCATTACAGTCCACTGAGCTTGGGAAGCTGTAGAGGAAACACATTTTAGAAGAGTTTTAATTTAAAAAATACCATTAACGTCTCTTGTTGGAATTTTCAGATAGGTATGTTCCTAATTTACTAAAGTCACTAAGAACTCAGAAAATAGTTTATATTTGTTGTGGAGAAGATCATACTGCTGCACTAACCAAGGTATCGTATGCCTATAAAACTTCTTTATTATTATAATAGTTATTTCATAATTAGCAAATGTTTTTATGATATTTACATTAAAACTTGAGTGTTATTGGTGCTTAAAAATAATTTATCTTAGAAAAAAGACCTAGATTACTATTTGTTCTCAAAAACAATTTACCTTAATTTTCACATTTGTTTTATGTTATGAAATGTGAATTATAATCTACTGTTAAATGTGATGATTATATTATTGAGTGTCTCAGCTTCATGTGAAATACTGCTCAAATAATATTTTGAATGAAGTAATTCCTTTGAAGTTTGTCAGGCTTGCCATGCTGTGTGTATCAGTTCCACTTATATAGCATAGTTCTGCCTAATTTTAATTTAGTTCCCATTTGGCTTATAAATATTATATAACAAGTAATAGAGGAGACTGAATGAATTCCTCTATTATCCATAGACTAAGTATTATGGAATGGAAGCAGTTAGAATGAGCTTTTGTCACAAGCTTGTTAATGGCTTTAACTCTGACTTTTCTCTTTATTGGATATGTGCCAATTCAGTGTCATTACTTCTCTAGTGATTTGAAGTAAAATGAAAATAAAAACAACCTTTACTAGGAATATTATTTGTTATAGTCACGTTAACATAAAAAATGGTTAAGTTTTCATTGGCTAAATTAGAAATGAATTTTTTGTTTCTTTATCTTTTTTCATCCTACATTGTAGATTAAATTGGCAAGGAAAATTTAACTTCTAATCAGACTTTACAAAATTCTCCACACTCCCACGTTGGAATTTTAGGAAAAGAATTATTCTTGGTCATTATCAAATATTGTATACTCAAGATACTTTTAAAAATATGACCTCTTATAAAAGTTAATTTAAAAAATTTTATATTACTTTTTTATAAGGCAGTTCTGCTATACCTGCTGATCTTATTACTGTAGCTTATGGATTTTTATAATTCAAATTACAAATGTAATCACTAAAATCTTAGTGAATCTCGTTGGAAAGTTACAAATTTTAGTCATTCATTTCTGTCTTTGGTATTTGGAGGAAATAAGGCTATATTATTTCAACATTTTAAATTATTTCAACAAGTATTTTGCATAGTATCATTCTTTGGGGCTAACTTTGTGGTAGAAAGACTCATAATGTTAATGCTTTTCAAATTCACCCTTTCAAATAACCACTCATCTTATTTTCCCAGGATATATATCTATTTATATATATATTTATATTGAGTTTTTTTAAATGTTGATTTTATTAGACTTCTGTATTCCTCTCTCAAGAAAGTAGCTGGTGACGCTTGTTCAGTGGAATTTTTGTTACAATTTTTAATAAAATGATATAGTTTTAAATATCTCCAAAGTAAAATACTTTATTTTTCCTTGTTTTAATTTAGAATTTATATATGCCCATATCTATATATGTTTTGCTTTTCTGGAAGAATTTCTTGCAAATAAATTAAGATTGCTTTATGAAGCAG